TTTATGAATTTAAAAATATCGTAATAAATCTGTATGTGCAAAAACTCAAAAAAAAATTTCTCATTCAATTTGTGCTGTTATTGTTGTAAAATTGTTGTATGATATGTATTGCAATAAAAACAAAAATAAATAAAAATTTCAATTTCTTTTCAAATACTAACTTCTTTTATTTTTTTTCTTTAAATTCATCAGGAAAAGCTGGGCGACATTTGCTTCTCGTTACGGTATGTTCCAACAGCTGGAAAGCTTACTGTGGTTATTTTGGAAGCTAAAAACCTCAAAAAGATGGACGTCGGTGGACTGTCTGGTAAAAATTTAACTTCCCATATCGACTCAAAATTATTTGAAATACAACAAATAATGTTTTAAATCTTTCTACCGAATTGCGCGACAAATACAGTAAAAATAATTTAGAGCTGACAAAAAGAATAGAAATGGATTCTGAAAGAAGCAGACGCGAATATTAATTTTGAGTCGATATAATTTTGTAACAATTTAATATGTTATTAACATTAATATTAATACCGCTTATGTTTTAACTTTAAATTTAAATAAAAACCAAATAATGGCAATTTTACCACATTAATTTTTAATTGAAATGTTTATCACAATTTACATAAGGAGACGTATTTTATAAATTTCATCATATCAAAACTCAATAAAAAATATATATTATTCTATGGCAACCAAGCCACAATTTTTGTGGAAAGCTAAAACATCATTATAAATTTTTCTGGTAATAATCTTGCTTTTTTGTGTTGTATTAGATTAAGTATTTTCATATATATGTACATATTCTAATTATTATTCAGTCTTAATCTTAAATATGTATTTATTTTTTGCTCTTTTGTATGAACATTATTAATGCCTAAGTAACAATTGTAACATTATCTGCATTTCATCATTTTTTATGAAATCTTTTTTATCTACATATAATATTAACCAGGTTGCTATAGGATAATATTAAACTCTTCTAAGCTTTTACAAACAAACCAGAAAGGATTTAGAAACAATTTCAAAACTTTATTTTTGTATACTTTTAATTATGAGTTATAAACCGAAACTATGATATTTTGAAAATATGAATCTAATTCTCTGTTATCTCCATTCTCGTTCTGCGAAAACCGCGCGCGTGGTTGTGCCGAAAATAGCCCTGAAACTTTAATTGGAATTGAAAATAATTTTTTTCAAACTACGTACTATTGCACACATCTCAGATTTTCAAACTTAATTTCACACGAAATTTTTTGAACTAGTTTTAGAATTTAGGAATCGGAAGTTATAAACACATGTTAAGCTTTATTCTAAAAAATTTAATGTAATGTATTTCAAACGGACTGTTCCTTTTTACTATACATAATTTTCCGTAGAATACTATATAGAATTTCTCCTATTTTTAATTACATAAAATTTTTATTTAAATATTGAAGTAATCATTTTATAACAAACTAATAAACTTAATTTTATGATATAATTAATAAACTATGAAAGTAATTCATTTATTTCGGTATAAATTTGCGTAAAATTTTCTCAAAATTAGGTATAAAGCTTAAATTTTGTTGATGCTTGATTTGGTTAAGGTATAGGGAAATACTTTAAGGTAAGCTGGTTTCTGTTACATTTTTTGCTCAAACAATGTCGAAGAGCAAAAGGATCCAAATTGGCATTTCGCAAACTCGGGAGGAGGATCTACAAAAAACAATGTTCTTTAAGCCAAAAAAAATAATATACTTTATAATTAAATATAGCTATACATATAAACTTATAAGGTTTGAAATTCATTCCGTTACTGTGTAAAAGAAAAATAAACCAAAAAATTAGTAAAACCGCACTTAATACAACGGCTAATTCGATCGTTTGTCATATGCTTATAGTTTAAAAAGAAATAATTTCTGACCTTTTACTGAAGAAAAAGAAACAATTCTAGAACTTGCTAAATTTTCAAATTTTTTTTAGTTTGAAAACGGTTCCTTGGATAACGTCAAATAATAACTAATACATTTGTTGAATAGCAAAAAGGGAATAAAAATTACGTATTGTTATTTAAACCTACTTTGTTCCTTTTGTAGACAACTATACAAAAAATTTTTTGTTTATGAATTTTACTATTGTCTTCAAAATTTAAAAATTTTATGACCTTGTTAATTTTTCTATTCAACACCAGAAACATAATAATTTTAACAACTTGCCTTTAAAGTCAGCCAATTTAAAAAAAACGCTTTTTTCCCTGCTGTGCAGATTTCTACACATATGAAATTTTGGGTATTATTATATAGTTTGCATTTATAAACATTACGGAATTCAACGTTATTTTTCCAACTTTTATAAGGTTCTGTACGTAATTATTTCAATAAATTATTCCAGTAATAGTCTTTTCGAGTTTTTCATTCATTTCAATAAGAAGTTTTGTCACTTATAAAACAACTTATAAAAAATGTCGAGATTGAAATTTCTTTGTGATGAATAAATAGGAGATGTTTTTGGAGAACGATGATAACGATAGTGACTATGGTGACGATAATTCAAAATTAGTTTTAAATGAAGGCAAAAAGTTTGTCTTTTTATTATCAGATGATACTGATAACTCCAATAGTGATCAAATATATGAAGAAAATGAAAGCTAAATTACTGATCAATTAATCATATCAAAAAATGGTCGGCTATGGAATTCTGAACCTACGTCAAATCAGCCTAGGCGAATTAGATCTGAAAATATGATTACACTTCCTTCAGGTGTTTTTATATTTTTTCCTACACAAATTGGAAAAATTACAATTGAAAATCAAATTGATTTAAATTTTCTTCACGCATACCTTAGTGTTTTAATTTTAGCTGGCATATTTCGATCGAAAAATAAGACTTCCATGATTTATTTGACGAAGATAACGGTCGACTAATATTCAGCACTATAATGCCACAAAAAATATTTCATTATTTGAATAACGTCATTCGTTTTTACAACGTAATGAGTAGGAGAGAACAACGTTCATCTGATAAATTTGAATCAATTCGAGTTTTGTTCGAAAAATGGAACAACTTTTTTTAAGTTTTTATAATTCATATGACTCTGTTACTGTAGACGGACAATTTTGAGGATTCAATATAATATACTATCCAAAATCCATATTCAGTATATACTATCCAAAACCAGCAAAATATTGTGAAATTTTAGTTATTGCTGTATTCTAAAACGTACTACGCTTGGAGAATTCAACCTTATCTTGGAAAAGCGATTGCTGCCCCCGTATCTGAACGAAGAGCAGCGTGTAGTATTAGATTTAGTTGATGGCTTGAACTTGGCCAAAAACTTCTCGACAGATGACTAACACATCCTATGACAGGTTGTAACAATAATAAAGTAAAAACGAAGCATCCCCCCAAAACCTTTAGAGTTTCGAATTTAACCGCTATATTCCTAAACATTTGCATTTGCAGAAAATATGGTTTTGGTTTCCTATTTTCGAAGAGAAAAACAAGTGTTCCATGTTTTTGCAAAGTAATTTGGAAGATTCTAACGATGCTGGATGTGGGCCAAAAAAATTGCCTGCTGTTATTGACTTCTAAAACCTTATTGCCAAAGGGAGGTGTAGATATACTAGAAAAAATGGTTTCATGTTACAGTTGTAAATGTCAGACAAAAAGGGTGGCCTACAGTAGTTTTCTCGAATATCATTGAATTATCAGCATTGTGTGTGTGTATAAAGTTTATAACGAAATTTATCCCGCTCTGTGATACCCGTACGAATTTGTTATCCTACTTGCGAATAAATATGCCATAACTGACTACGGGAAAGACTATGACTTTAAGTTACCGTATTACGATATTAATCTTATTACGATTTACGATATTAATATCAAAATACTGTGTGTGCCAAACCACTAATAAAGTTGTATGGCAGCTACCAGAAAGAGCCAAGCAATTTCAACGACTTTTATCAAACACATTGGCCCTACTAATATATTTTTTCGTGTGAAATTTCACACAGCTTTTATAATTTCTGAGATACTACGAAATAAATTTTGAAGTTGTATGGCAGCTACCCGAACCAGTGCCTCGACCATGTCCATTTTAAATAGGGTTTTGGCACTTAATACAATAAATCATTTTTGAAAATTTAGTGAACTTAACTCAATTAGTTTTTGAGTTATCACTGGGACAGACGGACGGACGGACAGACAAAGCTAAATTAACTCAGAATTCGACGCTGATCAAAAACATTCACTTGATTCTATATCTAAGACCGTCATTTCTTAGCGTTACAAACGGTAAGGCAAATTTAGTATACCCTTCGAACATATGTACGTTCGTAGGGTATAAAAAAACAAAAAGAAGATATTTTCTTTGTTAATTAGGGATTTTATGTTCAAAACTACATATGTCGAGTAGAGTTGGAAACCCCAGAACGCGTCTTTCATTATCTCCTCTTCAAAATCTGATTGATCAAATTTTGATTTTGGAGAGGAAACCTCAGCTTCAAAACGCCTAAAAACCATTCCAGAAAATCAGAAAGAACAGCTTAAAAAAAGAGGTAGATGCCACATTTGTTTTGAGGAAAATTAAAAAAAAAACAATATGCTGTTGTGCAACCAACCATGCTGTAGAGCGGAGCACAACAGATATGTTGATGCAAAATGTTTTTTTTTTTTTAAATTTACTTAATTTCTTTTTTTTCTCTCTTTTTTTTAAATAAAGTATACAAACTGTATATATGTTATATTACATATGTGTAGAAATCTACATAAAAAGTACAAAACGTTGTTTTTTTAAGGGACAAAGTAGGACAAATTTTGTGCAGAAAAAACGTTGCAAGAATGAACGCATAGGGAACAAGCAATTCCAAATTATATGTATACATATCATGTTTTGGTGTAACAGAGAAATAGATTTTACGATTCACAGTTTCAAATTTTTCTGTTTAAAAAATCAATTTGAATTTTTATTTTAAGAATAAAGATTTTTTAAAATTTAAAACAATTGATTGTAAGTTGTCAATTTTTGTAAATGCACCCTCAACCCTTACTACAATGAGTCGTTCTCATTTGAAGTCCCATTTGAACAAATACAAGTATGCGAGAATGTATTATACTATCCTATACCACAAAAAATAAATATCCTTTCAAGTTTTCTTAAAAGTTAACAACAATATAACCCTTTATTAACATATTAAACATGTAATTTTCTATAAAACAACAACAAAAAAACAAATATAATGCATCCCACTTTTAATTTTACAACGGTATTCATGAATAAAACCTCGTTTATGAAAATTGTCAAAATCAAACAAGAAAAAAAATAAATATATTTATATATACATATATACATATGTAAACTTACATGTATTTTTACGTTAATTTATATTTAAATGTATATATATATATACTAACAAACACTAAAAAAATATTAAAAACAATATTTATTGACGCTTTTTTAAGTAAACTAATTTTTTTCCAAACAAACACACTATTATAAAGTTCAAAAAAGCCTTAGTACATTGTGCATACGATTTTGAAATTAACCTAGCATAAAGTTATTTGTTGTGGTTGATGTATATTTTAATTTCAAATATTCAATATGCTGTATATTTTGTTGTGTTATGTTACTGTATATAACACTTTTAAGCAAAAATTTGAATCACTTTAAAATTTCTTGTAAGGAATTTTATATATGTATATTTTTTTTATATTTCATTTCTGCTATATTAAAATTTTTGAGGTTATAAAAAAGTCGACATAGTTTTTATAAAAGTATTAACATTCCGAAAATACAAAAGATATGAAAAAAATTATAATATTCGAAAAAAAAGATAACTTTTTGTTCCCCGATAAAACCGTATCAACTTTCCAGGAAGCCTGAACCGTTAAAGAAAAAACAATCAAACTTATCGTTCTAGTAATCATAAAATTACCAGTTAAAAAATTAGAAAAAGCACCAAATTATATATGCTATTTCTTAAAAATTACTGGATCAGTTCTCCATGAAAGTATGGAATTACATTATGTTTGCTAGTTTATGAACTAATTTTATTGAAAACCTAAACGATTTTATATATAGTTCGAAAATTAACTCAGAATAGCTGAAAACTTACAAGTTATTATTGCAGACCTAAAGGATTATGTAAAGAATTTTGAAGAAAATTCATAACTTTTAATGAAGCCGTATCGCATTTTTTAAATGAAGTTCCATAAGACTATATAAAAAATTAAAATTAAACAAATTCTTTCATATACATAAAATTGAGTAAAAACAAATTAAGTAAAAAAGCATAATACTTAGATTCGTTGATGAGTCATAAAAATCTCTTCACAAAAAAAAAATTTATTTTTGGGAAATTCCGAAAACCACCTCAGAAAGTCTCTGACAATTTTGACAATCTCTTAAAACAATTTTGAGAAATAGCAGCTTGTTTGTATTTACTGCTTATCAAAACCACAAAAAAAATGCACAATATATGTACATATACAAGGTGAATAAGTATCGAGTACAATATTATATATCTCATTGTTTAGTGCATTAAAAATGGATAAAATTTTTGCCTGGGACCAGTTGTCAAAACTCAACGGTTTCTGGGCTACAGAGATTTAAACGAATTTTCACGAATTTTTTTCTTGCTTTTGCCAAAAAACAGACAGGCTTCAAATGAACAGTTTCTGAAAGCGTTTGAAAGCAACATATTACTTAATTTTGTATTTTATGTACTTTCAGAATACCATGCATTCGAACTTTGGAAAATCACCAATTTTTCCCATTTTGTGCTTTTTTAATGTTTTTTATCCCTACAATTTTTTGTGAAAATTTCAGGAAGTTTAAAGTTGTTTATTACAGAATTTTGGCCACCTTTATAAGCTTTAATTCAAGTCCTCCAACGATCAAAAATCTTTATGCTAATGAGATACAGTATAAAAACCACTATGTTAAGATTTTAAGGGCCCTAATGAAATGTAAAAAATCATTTAATGGCCCTTTCAAAAACTGTTCATTTGAAGCTCCCTTTTTTCGGAAGGGAGGGAATTATAAGCAAAAAAGTTTGGACAAGTAAAAATTTCTTCAAAATTCGTTAAAATCCCTGCATTTCGAAAACCGTTGAGTTTTGACAACTAGTTCTAAAAAACCCATTGTTCTAATTTTTACCCATTTTTGATGCCCTAAGCAATGATATATAATATTGTACTTTTTAGTGACTCACCCTTTATAATATATAGGTACATAATGTGGCAGTATTGTATATTTATCAAGAATTGTTTGTTTAGTTGTTAAAGTTAAATACTTTTTTTCATATTGATTTTAGTTGAGCAACAAAGTTATTAGCTTTTCACGTGTTATATAATCAAAAACCCGTATATCATTTTACAAATAAAATGTGTTACAATTTTGCTTCTTTTAATAACCTAACGCTTTTTCTATGTAATAAGATTTAAGCAAACCTAAAATTAACTAGTCTAATAATTGAGATAAATTTGCTTAACTATGACATATAAAAGAAAAATAAGAATTATAAAAAAGCAGTTTATCTTGTATATAATATGAATATATATTTTAAAATGAATCAAATCGAGTTGAAATGAATCATAAACAAACAAAGAAATATGTCTGAAGAAGACATGTCACTTTCCCACGTTTTTGAAATTTTATTTGCCGCTTTTTCTGGAACTATAGAAAGAAATAGTGTGCACAATTTTGTAAACAAAAAATACGAAGAGAAATTTAAAATGATTTCTTTTTTTTATTAGCTCTTCTTTGTTTATAAAAAATATTAAGTTCAGTTTATAGAATTAGAGAAAAAAAAGCAAATGAAATTTCAAAAATTTGAAAAAGACAAATGCTCTTCTTAAGACATATCTCTTTGTTTAATATATTTTTTACTCTTTATACTCTTTGTGAACTTTATAACACTTTTCCTCTTGTTTTAACTTGTATATTATTACTTTAGAAAAAAAACTATTGTATTTATAAAACCTCAAAAATTTTATATTTAATCTTGAAGAAATTTTAAAATAGTAGTATTAGTAAACAGTGAATTATAAAACAGTACAATTATGTAAAGAACTGTATAACAATATATTGTTCAACTTCAGTAAGAGCGTTCCGTTACGTCTTTTGCAGAAACATAAACACTTATTTTACGATACCATGTCTTACGAAGTATTTTTATGTTTTTCTTATGCAAAAACGTCAACTTGCGTATAAAATGGTTGAAACGAAAATTAATGAACATTTTATGAATATCGAATAAAAAAAGGTGTCATCATTATTGTGGCAAATTTGACAATATATTCGACGGCGTCATGAACCGTATAACCTGGGTTCATTGTTTTGACACTGTCTTCTGATTTGGATACTATTGCAGTTTACATGTTTATTTAAGAAAAAATATATATATATTTTTTATAAAAGATTATCAACATGAACTGTTCCATTTAATGAGATTATTAATTCAGCAAACGAAACTTTTTGCAAAAGTAAAAAACCAAATATTTGTATTAATGTTAAAATTTAATTTTTTTACCATCTTAAATTTTTTTTCCTCTTCAAATACTAATTAGAATAATTTGTAGTCATTTTTAAGAAAACAAATACATACATAATAAATTTTAATAAAATAAATCATAAGTATTTAAAAAGAAAAGTATTCTTAAAAAATAAAAAAACTAAGTTTTTGTACATTATTAAATTTCATACTTCTATCGACTTTTTATATTTAAAATTTTGTAATAGGTGATGTGGCTCTCATTTTTAAAGTTAAAATTATGTTTAGAAAATTTTTGTATAAGTTTCACTACAAAAAAATAAAAATTTTTTAAAATAAAAGCAAAAGCTCTCAAAGATAAATTGCTTGTAAAATGGATGACACCATAAAAATGAGACACGCTGTTAAGATTTAAAGTATTATCTAAAAAGTTATACAATTTAAAAAAAAAATAGGATTGAATATTATACATTTTCGTTTACCAGTATTTACTGAACTTTTTTCAACATACAAATCAAAAATATGCAAAACAAAAATAGTTCAGTTAAATTAATCAATATATAATGATCATCAACATCATAAATTAAATATCAAAACATGACAAAATAGAGTAAATATGTAAATATAATTCTGCTTTTCGAAAAATTTTATTGGTAGAAAAACATGTATACATCTTTACAAAAAAAAAAATGCTAAATTTTATTTGAAGAAAAAAAACTCATTTCGTTTTAAAAGAATTTTAAAAACACATGTTGCCCAAAAAATTTAACATCATGTTCCATAAGACCACCATTCATTTTCAAACAAAAATAATGTTTTTATAACTATTAGTGTTTTGCTTTACTTTCAATTTTAAAGCATATGCTGCCATATTTTTTTTTCGCATCAAATCACAAGTTTTAAAACATTGCACAATTAATCTTATCAAATATTATTAGCTTTTATTTGTACTAAAAATTGTTATTTGGCACTAGCAGATTTTAAAAAAATTCATAAAAAAAAACATTTATTTTTAAATGAAAATTAATTTAAACTAATATTAAAATATTAACAAATATGCTTAGAATATAAGGATAAAATTTCATTTTAAATAATTCTTAATTTTCTTTGAATTACAGGTATAAGACAAACCCTGCATCTAGATAATATTGTCCCTTTTTGCTTCTGTTCCTTTATATTCTGCTATTTCTTTGTACTCAAGCAAAGCCTTTAATTTTAAAGGCAAAACTAAATTATTTAAAATACCCAGCTTATTTAATCGGTTTAATCTTTAGTTTTTTTTACGGTCTACGAAATATTATTGATTGTCACGCGATATAGTAAACACAATTTATTCAGCAAGATCGAAGACAAAACCTTTAAATTTTTCAAAGCAAAAAGTAATCGAGCAAAAAGTAGTAATGAAAATTAAATCAACAAATTTATAATGCAAGTTCACAATAATTTATTGAAAATATTGAGATTTATTCCGAAAAATCATTCTTTCCAAAAAAAAACTTTTCTGTTTCTTATACATATCAAATTTATTCGTCGCGTGCGCACTTTTTATATAATAATTTAATTTTTACCTATAAATAATTAGTTTAGTTTCAAAGAAGTTCATTCAGCTTTAGTACGCCAGTTCATTCTAATGGTGCGCTCAACAATTAAAGCGCTACAATACGGGTTATACCAGTATTAAAGAAGTATTAACTCATCTTGAAACGCCTTAGCTATAGTCTTATCTGTTATGAATTTTCTCTGTTCTTTATATTGCGCAGCAACAGCTATTTAGAGTTTTATTAGATCATAATTTGCTCATGCAAAGTAATAGTTGATTTGAACAAACAACCATGATATCGAACAAATCATTCAGAGAAGGCTTTGCAACCCTCGAGAAGCAGCTCTCGTTGTCATACAACATCTACCACAGTGTTGCGACTCCAACCTGCGTGCAAGAATTTGCCGACATCTTCTGCTTACTCAAAATACCTAATAGTATCTAACAGTAACGGATATCTAATAGTATTAAATTAAAAAACATCAAAGGCTAAGTTTAAATACAATGCCCTATAAATGTATATTACATCAGTTTCAAATTAAGACAATATTTCCGGACACTTTAACGAAATATTAGTCTTCACATTTTAAAAATTCACCCGCATGGAAATTGTCACTTCCTTATATAAAACTAGGCTAGATCAATGTCCGTGAATATAATCTAAGCCAATGTTTGTGGGTTTAGGTCTATTAATTCATGTTCCTGCATAAAATCAGATCCAAGAGACGAAAGCTTCTTTCTAACCTAAGCTAGACGCTACGTCGTCAGATTAAAAATCCTCTTTCCCCCCAGAAAAAAACAGACATACAATCAACAATTCCAAGCTTTGTCTTTGAAAGCAGGCAGGCATCAGTCCCCCTATCCTGATATGCAAAGTCGGCTAATATTAATATCACTGAATAAGCTTTAATTTTCCTTTTTTGCTTTTTAAAATGTATGGTGCACATACATTTACGAAAACTTTGCTTGGTTTGCATCAAAAAATTTTAGTATCATATAGAAGTTCATTTGGAAATATCTCTCATAAGAGTTTTGGCCCCCTAGCGCGTCCTTTTTTTGTTTTGATATCGTATAAATCTATCTGAACAAAAGAAGAAATAAGCTTATTCAAAATACGAAAATAGCTTATTTTTTATATTCAAAACTACGCTAAAAAGCAATCTTTTGAAATTAATCAATATGTTAGTTTATAAATCTAAAATAGCATAAAAATCCATAAATGAAATATATAAGTCTAACACTCAGAACTACTTAATGTGTTCAATTTCAATTAGATATTTGAATATGTAACTTACATATTCACATGCTAACCAGCATTTATTTCCAAAAAAAAAGAATGAGTTTTTTTAAAAAAATACAAATTCTGAAAGAACAAAAATTTAATCCCCAACTTGGAAAATTGAAATAATGCAATTTTTTTCAAGATGAACATTTTAAACCAAATGTTACAAAAAAAGTAATTTCTTTTGTAATGTCTTATATTCTTGTAATTAAAAGTGTTTTATATTTACAAAAACAAAAACAACGCTACTTCAATAGAAAATACAACTGGTTGTCACTGTCGTGGATTACGATCGTATTGGAACATCTGAGGCTATTGGACGTTGTGTATTGGGTTATAATGCAACTGGTACAGAGCTACGACATTGGTCAGATATGCTGGCTTCGCCGCGAAGACCAATTGCTCAGTGGCATACATTAAAAGAAGTAGAAGAAACAGAACACTTAATCACTGGAAAATAAGGAAATTAAACAAGCTCAAAACAAAATAATTTCAAACGGCTTCAATAAAATTTGTAAGTTAAACTTTTATCTTCAAATAATAATTAGATTTCTTAATTTTTGAAAGAATATTTCAATAAAAAATTTTCCAAAGTAGCCGCAAACTATACAATTTACACTTGTTTGCAAATTACAAAAGTCTCACATGTTTTTAAAAATTTTTAAATATTTTATTAATTAATTTTTATAAAATTTTCAAAAATTATATTCATTCATCTGCCTTTTTATGGAACTAATATGTTCCGGAACTTTTGTCCGGAAATCAAGTCTTTTTACTTACATTACGTTACAACCACATAATATTTTAACTAAAATTATATATATGTAGGTACATATATTTTTTATTAATTTGCCAAAATTTAGTAAGACTTTATTATTATTATAACATTAGACAGCAAGAATCAACTTCCGTAAATTCTTTGCATAATATTTCTCTGATCTCTGTTTCATATAAAACATTAGGGTACATACCTATACAATCACAGTGGTTTTTATGTATCTACATAATATTTAATATACACATATGTATGCATATATAAACAAAAAAATTCTTAGAAATAAGTTTTTTTATAAAAATTGTAATTTTTTAGACTAATTTTTTTTGCATTTTAAAAATTTTCCGTAAAATTAACTTTTGGTTTAATTTTTGAATTCAGTATAACGAGCTTCATTTAAGCGAGGGATGAGTGTAATTCTATCATAAAACATCTCTTGGCTGCTTTACCTACACAATATGAAAAATTTCTTATGTTCCATAATCACACTGCGCGTATATGTTCAAAATAATTCTTTTAATATATTTTTTTTCCATAACTTAAACAATTATGAACAATAATTTCAAAAAAATAGATTTTAAAATTGCATCTTAATATTATCGGTCATATTAAAAAATAACTAGCAAAAAAATGTTTTTATAATATTAACACTTTGAAAAATCGGGATTTTTCACAAATTTATGGTTATTAGGATAATAACATTTTGGAAAACGTTGGACGAGATTGATATCGAAGCTTTTGACCAGGGAAAATTGCCTCCATACAAAAATTTTATTAAATCATGAGGGTTTGTGAAATATTATATTCATAAAGCAAGCATTTATGTATACAAATTGGTACACACTTAGTTTAATCCACCGTTTAATCCGTGTAATTGCTTGGAACTTAAAATCAACGTTAAGCAGATATTGATTTGATAATGTCGCTATAATATGGAAACGTTATAAATATTTTAGACAATTGGTAAAAAAAGAAAAGAACAAATTTATTTAATAAAGTATTTTGTGCTTCAAATATTGAAATACATAATGTACGTGAATGTTTGGATGACATTTTGCATATATAAAACTACACAACATTGACATTGGCTAGACCTAAAAAACTTCCTAAAAGAGAAAATTGACGAAAGATGTCTTGATGACAACCCCACCAAAACAGTAGAAGCATTAAAATTAATGCATACATATATTGTTGCTCCAAATTTTTTTTGGTCCACCCGCCATTTACCAGTGTTTGTGAAAAACAAAGTCAATATTTAGTCCTTTATTACTGTGCGATAAAATTTTTTTTTTAAATTTTCATAAATGCTTGTTAATATTCATTTTTAATATTTTTAAAATTTATTTTACGTGGATTTAACTAAATTTCCCAGAGCTTAAAAAATTAGTGAGGCATAGTCGGACGTGAAACAAAACGTACTACATGAAAATTTTTTCCATGTATGACATAGGTCAAACTTCGATATGATTTTTTATGGTAGGTATAATATTTGAGAGAAGTTCTGAATTTTATAAAAATTACGTAAAAGAAGCCTTAACTTTTTCATTTATTTCAAATACATATATTAAATTAACAACACATGATAAAATGTGAACTCTGTAAAATACTTTACAAAATGTAAAAATAAAATTTAATTCTGCAGTTGTATATTATGTAACATACATAATATACAAATTAAAAAGAGAAAATTGCAATTAAAAAGAGAAAACTTGCTTACAATTTGGTAATAAGCAAAAATTTGTTCTTGTTTTCAGTTATAAGAATAACCTGTAGGCAATGAAAACTCGTGTCGTTGTTGAAGTGCTTATAAGCTTAATATACATATAATATGTACGCGTATTACATACATACAACTTTTTTCTTAAATAAGAAATGCATTCATTATAAATTTTTAAATTTTAAACAAAAAAATATGCAATTTTGATTTCGTTACGTTTTCATAGAGGAAATTTCCCATACTTGTATCAAAAATTGCAACGTGGAGCATAACAATAATTAAAAATTGGATCAAAGAGTTACGTGAGCCAATCTCGAAAAATAGTGAAAATCTCGAAAACTACAACGCAAGAGGAAATTAGTTTATAGCTTTTGATTAAACACGCCGAAAAAACTAAGAAAGAATGCGTATCGTCAAAATAACAAAATTGGTGGGTTTTCGTAAATTCATATCGTTGCCAAGCTTTTGGCAACGATATGAGTGTACGAAAACTGTTGACCAAAAAAGTTAGAAAAATTTATTGCCAAGTTTTAAGCCATTTTAAGTTAAGCCCAATTTTCACATTAAATCAATTTTAAGTTAAACCAATTTTGAAAATATTGAATACTGCATCCAAAAATTTAAATTACACAGTTTTCAAAGTTTATTTATCTTAAAGTTATAGAATATAATTTTGTTATACATAATTAACCTGTATACTTTTCAGCAAGCACTTTTCTTGATCAGTACTACAATTAATTGGCGACCAATTCTTAAAAAATAATTTTCCGCATCCCCACAATATTACGTAAGCTAACATGTATGTATATTAACTTTGTATTAATTTATATTAAAGTTAAATGTTACATTATAATAAATAATAATTTTTTACAGAAGTAGCAGAAATAATAGCAGATACTGAATGAAAAATCAACTTCCTCTGAAAATAAAGAAAACACTATAATTGATTTCGCATCATAATACGATAATGTTGTAACAATATGAAACATACTTTAGGCAAACCAAATTGACTACCTTAAGTGACTATTAGAAGCATGAAATTATTTACATTCCCATTTAAATTATAAATGTGTTTCCACTTTATAATGTATAGCTATATATGTATATTGCCTAACTGAATGTGTGTATATTAAAATATATGCAGGCGTATAGTTGATATGTGCTCTTATGTATAAGCTTGCATATTATCCATTCGCTTATCAACATAATTTTAAAAAATTAATCTTAAATCTTATCGTAACAAAAATCACAGTCTGCCATAAAAGATCATAATTTTTTTTAAGTATATTGATACTGTAATCGATTTGTGCTTATTCATACAAGTGAAACAAAATTCCATATACAAATATACTATCAATTTACTTTACTTGGTTATACGATTTTATTACTGCTGCAACACAAGAAGATCATGAATTTCATCAGATAAATTTTCATTAAGGAACTCTGCTGTGTATTACAATATGAAAAAGATGCAGTCATGGCTAATTAATTATAGTTTCACTATTTATTATAATTTTGTGACTTACCGTTTTTAAATTTCACTAATATAAAACTTTATAAGAGTTTTTCTAGAGCCTTATTTTTTTCTTTTAAAAAAACAATATGCTATACTAAAAGTTTTCTATTCAAAATTTTCTACTCAAAATAATTCACTCTTAATACTAATTGAAATTTTGTTAATTCTATTTGCCCACAAGAAGTTTCAGAGAAGTAAATATTACTCAAAAATTCGTCCGTTGCTAAATGATTTTTACTTTATTAGCTTCTAATATTCTTTAATTTTGTACTCAAGCCATTTTTGTTTACAAAATACCTATATTTCTAAATATTTAAAAAACTTTCAATGAATAAATATGTATATTAATAACACATACATAAATATATTTCACATAATTTAAATATGCATATACGTTCAATATGTAGCAAAAATGCATATCCATGACAAAATATGTGGATATAAAAATATTTACATATAATATTAATATCATTAATATAATTAGCCTACGAATGAACTGTAATTGAGAATTTTCTTAATGTAGTCTATAAGTAACTATATAGCACGTTGTGGCTTCATACCTATTTTCAAAGTAGGATACCATGGCATTAGCATTTCTTGCTCTAATCGTATAGTATGACCTCATCTTTTCCGTGTAGCAATATATAAGAGATGCACATTAAAAAATTTTCAACACAAGCATTCATAATTTAAAAAAAAAATTAGAGCTACTTTCCTGAAAACATAGCTCTTAGGACTTTATAACAATTCTCTACCTGTGACGAAAAAAGCAAGAAAAAATAATTTTTAGTATCTATAACTTAAAGTGAAAATGTTGAAAAGTTCTGCTTAGTCTGAACCGACCACGATTTCATCGCCGATGAACTATTGAGCTCCGGACGTTCATATGTAAATTAATAGCTACACAAATAAATAGTATAACGAAATAACACTAATAATGTCAAAATGTATTTTTAGAAAAGTAACGTAAAAATCAAAAACACTATTTATGTGTACCTATATATTTATGTGTACAAAAATGTGTACCTATATATATTTCCATTAAAATAAGTTATTTATGTGAATGAGATATCTTTTCAACAAACTTTCGATTAATGAAATTTATTAATTTCTGGACCCAGATGTAATTAATTGTTAAAGCAAAAAATTATGTAATAAAGAATAAAAATTAATCAATCAATATATTAAATAAAATAATTTATAATTTAAATAATTTTGATGTAAAATAGGTATCACCAAATATAAGTTATTTCTCAATTAAAATCAGAATAAAATTCAAATGTGAAAATAAAAGTGTTGCCAATATTATATTATTTTTGCTCTCCTGACATAATTATAGGCTTATTTGCACATTATTTGCACATACATATATGCATACATATACATATATTTCAATATATACAAATACATATATGTGTGTGTATATAACATTTGCGTAGACTAAATAAGCAATATATATATTCATGAACAAACACACATATAAACGCATATACATATGTAGATAATAACGGTTATTACTTGTTACATAAATAAACTGTACATTAATTATATTCTTTAAATATAAACATTATTTTATTACAAAAAGTTATTATAAAACTTTGTTCACATTCAAGCCCAAAAAATACTATATACTGTTAAAAAATTTTTAAAATTTAATCTAACGTAGTCTAATAAAAATAATAATAATATAAAAATATTATAAAGTAATAAAATTGTTTATTAAATATAACTTACTAATGATTAATACAAACTTATGTGATTTTTAATAATTTTTTAATAAAAATATTCAATTTAGGATGTTACAATTGATTGTATATATTAAAAAAATTCAGTTATAAGCCTACAATATTTTTTAATTTGTGTTTTTATAAGTTCTTGTAACAACTGTAATACAAATTCAAAAATAATTAGCATTTAACTCTTACAAAGTGCAATATATATATAACATATACACAAGTCCAGTACAAGTTCTGAACCTTTCTGAAAAATATTAGTATTGAATTTGAAGTATGAAATGACTCAAGCGACATTTATTAAATTAAATATATTAATAAAATTATAAATTATAAAACCAAAGAAATTTACAAAATAAGATTTATTATTTTCCGAATATTTTTCAAAAACACTTTTTGAAAACGAAGAAACTTTCCTTAGTTCGAAAAATATAATTTTCGTTTGAAAAATGCAAATCAATCTGGGTATAATCGGAAAGTAATGAAAAATGTTCATCGATGCAGCGTCGATGCAAACAAAAGGTATTATTTTGACTTTTTTTGGACATTTTCTAAGTGTTGTGTTTTTTAGTGTTTTAATGAATGATTATGTTTTCAAAACCTATTTAAAAATTGTTTTGGAGATTTTAATATAATAAGTCATCTGAAAATATTAATATGATCCAATTTTCACTCTTCTAAGGTAATTTATTACTAGAAATTCATAAAAGGAAATTCATTACTAAAAATTAGTATCATCAAAAAATTATTAATTTTATTAGTTATATAATAGAAAACAATAAAGTTATATAATTATTAACTTTATTTAAAATAAAATTTTGCATCAATATAGAGAATAACAAAAAAATTGATGCACAACTGGTTTAATATAATACGCATATACGATGTGTTTTATTGACATTTTCGAATATCAAATTTTATAAGTGTTACCGAATCGATACAGTTTCGTACATGCTTTTAAGATGATTCTCAATCTCGGATTGATTACATACTTTCCGATTCTACCCTTTATCAAAGCCAATTTTAATCTATATTTTCATTATACTTGACATTTATTACAAATGATTATATTTATATTTATAACAACCAAAACCAAACATTACAACCACAATTTTATTATATCTTAGGGACAATACTTAATTTTGACAGCCGAATGCTACATATCGCCTCGATTTAAGTATAGTATAAAAAAGAACAAAAAAATATAGTGTCAATAATTATAATTTAATTTTTTATATTCCAAAATTGACAAACTCTATAAGACACAACTAGTTAGTACTATATCGTTTTGAATGTATAATTATAACACAACCTAACAAATTGTGTTCAAAATGACTTTAAATTATTACATAATATATTTTAATGATATATATTTTGTTAGTTTGTTTTTTTTATTTCTATTCTTTATTTTTACAATTATGATTGTAAAAGTAAAGAATACGAATAAGAGAATTACTACTAATGCAATACCAATTATGATTGTATGAAAAGAATATTTTTTATCTTTTTATTTAAAATATTTTATATAAAACTAGTATTAATATATTGATATATTAATTTCATTATTATATTAATATTAATTTCATTATTAATTTATATCATATGTATTTACATACATAAAATTTAATTGATGGTAAAAATGTAGTAAACTACTAAAACGAATGGATATTTATTTATAATACCATTTGCACATATATAATTGAATATTTCAATCTTAATTGTATATAAAAATTTTACAGGCATAGATAAAATTAAAATAAAAAATAAATTATTAAAAATTACATAAAACAATAAAATTTCACATAAGAAACTTATCATATTGAAAATTTTAATTTAAAAAATCAACAATGAAGTCCATGTAAATTTCCTTCAATCACCTTTGTGATTAAAATGATTTTCGATTTTTTTATCCGCGTAGTTATTAAATTAAAATTTCGTTACAGCATATTAATAGTATATAGTATGAATAAAGTTTAAGTTTTTGATTCCATTAAAAGTAAATAAGAAAACAATTGATTTCGTTACGAAAATGTCTTACATATACATACATTATATACTACATATATATACTACAAAATAATAATTTCAAGTTAGTTATTTTTGAAGTTAAGCTATATAGAGCAAAAGTAACATAAAATTTTAAATATAGTTCTAAACGAATTCGTAATTTATATGTAATAATAATGTAATAATAAATAATGATAATGATGTTTCTTATATACGCATGCATTGTTTCTTTATATAATTAAATTGTATATTATAAAACTTACAAGAATATTAAAATCGTTAAAAGAACAAAACAAAAACTTAGGAAATTTTATTAAATAAAACTAGTTTAAAATTACAAAATGTAACGAGATAAAAAATATTCAATATAAAAAAATAAAAATAATAAATATATAAAAACTGTAATTGCAATGTAATATAAAAATATTTAATTTATTGATTAATAAAACCTTATAGATGAAATGTGAAATTCTTTTTGAAAAATGTGTTTAAGTTTATTAAAAAAATTAAAATAAGTATTAAACTCTACCATAAGCATAACAAATTATACATAAAAATAAATGTAAAAACAAAGATAACATTTACATTGATATGTGTAAATATATATTTAAATATATATGAATATTTTAGATATATGAGTTATACATACACACGTATAAACGTACACATAGTTATATATGCTCTACATAATTTGTATATATATATTATATATAGTTTGTATATATATATATATATATATATATACATATATATATATATATATATACATATATTTTAACACATAAGTATAACAAATAATATACATGTACATAAATACAATTTGAAACAAAAAATAAATCTCTGTTATCGAAATATAAAAACTAATTTCATTCTATGTAACGTAAATTTTTATTTCCCAAATATTTAAAGCTCAGTTTATTAACTTTATTACCAATCATTACTTTTGTTATCAAAACTAGTCTATCATAATTAGTCTTCTATCAAAAAAAGGTCGACTCTATTTTTTTGCGTTAACAAAATTTGAAAAATGCTTATGATTTCTTTAAAATAAGTAGTCCAAAAATAGCATTTTAAGGGGGGGGGGGGGATGCGAACAGGGGAGGTAGGTAAAAATTTTCTTCTACTAAAATAAGTTTCTAGTAAAGATCTATGTACGTATGAAATTTCAATTACCTATTTTTAAGCTATCTATTTTCAAGACAACTTTTAAATAAAGCATTTGAAGTACAGGTTGTATTCATATTTAGTTCATATGAAATTGAACATAGAAATTAAAAAAAATCAAATTAAAGTGTACTTAGAAGAAGCATTTTAGAAAAATAGTATACATCTACAAAATAGCCTTCACAATAATTGATAGAGATAAAATAGAAAAAGTAAGTTTAACTACTTACGTTTTTATATTGTGATGTTTCTTAAAACTTTCACTAGATTTCTGAAAACGAATATATTCTTATTCATGTATGTTTACCTCGAAAGGCAATTATATAAATATCATATATATTATGTCATTAAAAGAAATTTCAAAAAGAGACGTAAGATATGAAAGTGGTAATTCAGTATTCTATTATGGAGCCCCTTAACTTCAATTTAAAGAACATACTACACGCATATAGTTGCCTATACATTGTACATGAAATGGATACATATGTATATGCCAATGTAAAATACCTCTACGTATCATATACATAAGTATATGTACATACATATATACATCTACAATTTGTTTTTTTTATTCTAGTTCAGTTTATAAAATGCGCGAAATTTAGTTCGAACGCTACTTAGATATTATGAACGTTTGTTGTTATTTAAATTGTTGGATACTTACATACATTTTATTTTTTATTTTTCTTCATGTTGAACTCAAACATTTCATAAAATAATGCATACATTAGGTTAGAAATTTTTTTTTTACAATGAAAACTTAAAATAGGACCTATAATTATACATATCACAAATTATAATTATACATATTTTTAGTTAGATTTAATAATTACATATATATGCATATCTTTTTTTTTTGTCACACTACAAAATTGAGACCTATTATTAACAAATTAAAGTCAAATCGTAGTAATCGAAAAGAAATAAATAAAAAAAAGCGTAATCTAGTTCTCAAGTTTACAAAGGTGCTTCTTTAAAGATAATACATACATTTATTCCAAAGACGCAGCATTCTGTTTACCAGCTTATGCATACCATAATTAGTCCTATGAAAGGATACCGCAATAAGATTTGTCGAGCCAGATCTCACATTAGTGTTGATGACAATTTCGCTCAGAATGTCGGGCAATATGAGCTCCGACTTCAAAATAAGAAAAATAAACGTAAGGGGGCAAGATTAGGGGATTTTCCCAAGAAAAGTGACGGTGAGCGAATATCAAGAAATTTTTTTGAATAGCCTCAATTCTGTTCCTATGAACGTCGTGAATCGGAAAACAAACTTGCGCTTCGTATTGAAGATGTAGGCGTACAAGGCGGGAATAAAGAGATTATTAATGTGTAAGGGTCATTTAAATCCTTCGAACATCGCTTAATGAAACCCAACAAGGAACTTGTCTCCCGAAAATTTAGAATTGAAGTAAATTCCCATGTCCTTAAAAGCGAAAATCCTTTTTAGACCATCACCATTAAAAGAATAATTTGTCATAAAAGGGCACTTTCTGCGTGCTTACGTTTTACTTTAAATTGTGGAATGAGCACCATTCATAGAAGTTATTTGAGTCATTCTAAAGTGCTTGAGAATCAGCTAATAAAGAAATCATTTTAAAAATTTTCATATCATCAGCATAAATAAGAAACCCACTAGTTCCCAACTTCGAGCACATTATTCATAGAAATAAAAAATAACAATGGCCTCAAAGGGCTTCCCTGAGACACACCCGAACTTGTCAAAAATGAAGACAAGACAGATGAACGGCAAGCTACTACAACTACTAAAAGTTACCATTTAAGTAGACCAATCGGGTCCATATAAGGTTCGCCGTCATGGGCACTCTAATCAAATTTGGTCCTCACAGTTTGTAACAATTAACTACGACTATGATTTTAAGGAATTCCGAGTTTAATACCGGAAAAAAGCTAGCGCAAAAGCCATTCCTAACAGCAATTAGAACTCTCTCCTCACTTCGCTGCCCGTGCTGACCAACGTCAGTAGGGTCCGACTCGTAACGGTCTTTTCTAAAGACAGAATATGAAGGCACAAATATCTCCAAGTTAGAACGACTTGAACGTCCAAAAACGTTCTAAAAATAGATTTAAACACTCATCCCAGATCTTCTTATCGGAGGAAAGGTTAACAAACACTTATACGAGGACCCAGGGACGAACCCGGCAACATCTGAGCCATCACCAAACTCAACCAATCTGCTTTGAGCCGGAGTAGAGCAAGGGACGAAAAAACCTATTATTGGACTCCTTTATTCTCTACAAATAGTCAATGCACCTACTCTTCATGTGGCTACGATACTTTGCTAAGTCCTTATCAACCATATCAAAAGTCACATTAAGGATCAGGTGATATCCCCTAAAAATTCTCGACAGTGCATCTTAATCCGAAGGTAAACCCTCACTCTGAACAAGCACCTTTATGCTCAGTTATTCTTTCCATCATGGTGCATGTGATCGGCCGCGTCATGTAAATAGGCTAAGTACAGTTTCACATTATCGTAAATCACTTGACCTCTAAACCGAGAAAGTACGTAAGTATTATCGCCCTCCGCAACAGAATTTTTAATCAAGCGAATTATAGGAAGCAACAACGGATTTACAAATTTCTGTGGGAGGATTGAAGGAACCCCAACTGGGGAGGACTACCAGTATTAAACCTAGCTATGGACGCATAGCTACCACCATAATAGGTACACACACGAACAAAATTAGAATATCCACTATATTATTGTTATTAATATTATTATTGTTATTGTTATTATTATTATTATTATTATTATTATTATTATTATTATTATTATTATTATTATTATTATTACTATTATTGTTATTATTCTTGTTCTTATTTTTTTTTTTGCTTTGATAAACTTATTAAATAATATTTATTTATATATTTATTTATGTTTAGCTCAAACATGTTACATAACTTAAAATTACAGAATGAATATACAGATACATACTTTTTAGACAGAACAAAGTTTTGACTTAAAAATTAAATTTAAAAATTATACAAAATAAAACTTATTAGTAATAATATTCCATTAAATATGAATATAGACAATGAAAAGCTAAAACAAGAATTTGTTAAAATAAAGCAAAGGCGTATACTTAACTATAAGTAAATAGAACCTTTTGCATCGTGTCTTTCTTCAGTGAAAAGTCAAGTCTGTGTTTGTGTTTGTTGCATAAACGGAGCATTCTGCTGACAGGTTCATGTTTCCCATAATTAATCCTATGAAAATTGTTCCTTTTCATCCGGGGAACGAGACCTAAGGTTGGAATTAAACACAATTTTATTTAAAATGTCGGGGGAGATTAAGTCAGTTTTCATAAGCTGAAAAATGAACAACAAATCCGCGACATCACGTCTTTTACCCAGAGTATGTAGGTCAATTAATTTGAGTCTGTGCTCGTAAAGTGGAAGAATGGTGGGGCCCTCCGAAGGAAGAAGGCGCAGACTCGATACTATTAATATGTATATCGTAATAGGGTGACCATACTTGTGAAGCATATTAAAGATGAGGACGGACCAGGCATGTATAGAGTGATTTTAAGATATAAGGATCATTAAACTCCTTTGACCAGCGTTTAATGAAACCTAACTTGATCGAGATTGATCTGCATATGATATGATTATAGTGGTTTATAAATGATAACTTGCTATCGAAGCAAACACCCAGGTCCATTATTGAATCAACTCGACTAAGAACTTGGCCATTCATAGTATAGTTTGTAAAAAATTGCCGTTTTTGCCTAGAGTAGCACATTTCTGCACATTTGCCTTAGAAGCGGTTAAGATCATTCTGAAGACACAACGTTTCATTTGTAAAGCTTATTTTTTTTTTAAATTTTCATGTCATCAGCATATATTAATACCCCACTGTGCGTTAGCATCGAAACAACATCATTAATTGAAATTATGAACAGCAATGGACCTAAGTGACTATCCTGGGGTACACCAGAATTAGACGAAAGAGGCAAGGAAATTACTGAACGGAAGAGGGCTCTGTAAGTTCTGCCAGAGATATGACTTTATCCATGCTAAGAAGTTGTCAGCGAATCCTAAGAGTTTCAATTTTAAAATAATAATTTCATGTGGTGGTATGTCAAAGGCTTTGCTAAAGTCTGTGTAAATCACGTCCATCTGATGCCCATTTTCCATATTATTTGAGAAAACTGTCGTGACTTCCACTAGATTAGTCACCGTGGATTTCTTTTTTCAAGAAGCCATACTGACGCGCACTAATGAATGGCATACAATGGAAATAAATATTGTCATATGGTATCAACTCAAAAACCTTGGGAATAGCCGACAGTTTGGCTATAGGACGATAGTTTGACACGTCATTTTTATTGTTTTTCTTATGGATAGGCCTAATGAAAGCTTTCATCCATACGGACGGGAAAATACCCGATGAATAAGACTTATTAAAAATTAAGGTTAAGATGGGCGCCAGAGAAGAGCAGCACCTGCTTAAAATAATCTCAGGAACTCAATCTGGTCCAGGAG